ATATATATATATATATATATATATATATATATATATATATATATATATATATATATATATATATATCTTGATATCTTGTGCGCGCTCTTGGTCTCATTGCTTTGGCTACCTTAGGGTTGCGTTCCCCCGTGCCCACGCGGTAGACAATAAAAAGAAAAACTTACAACATCAAATACTCAAGCACACACATATACGATATATGGACCAAGATCCAAGGACCACTAACCTCGACACCAACTATGAATCAAGGTATGTTAAATATCTAATACATTAATACCATACAAATTACCTAAATCCCACACATTCCAACATTAACAGATGTGATAAATACAAACACCCTAAGTATCACACAAACACACACACACACTAATCTTGACACATACACACAAATACTCATTTTTTTTCATGCAACAATCACCCTACTTCTAAACCTCACCAATAATGTCTTCTTTATCAATCAAGCATATACGAACTACGGACTGTGCACCCGTGCCCTCACGGTAAGTCAATTCGTGGAGGACCCACAACCATCATTCGTAGAAACGGTAAAATTTGTACCTTTGTAAATTCGAATGACTGGTCGTCCATTTCATCTGAACCCCAAAAACTAGTTTTGAAGGGATGAACCATTTCATAGGAGGCTACAGTATAGTGGGTTCCTGCATCCGTATCCTGCTCTCTCTAAAAAAAAAAACAAAGAAACATAGGCCCTTGTCTAGTTGATGTAGCTAAGTGGTTAGAGCACCGGTTGAAAATGCGCATTGTGGTATAAGGTTGTGGGTTCAAAACTCCGCAGCCTTGCCCATGGACACCGTCAGGGCGTTAGAATGACGCACGACTGGACACACACCCCCTGGGCTGACGCATGGTACTACTATTACAGGCACTGTTTGCGCACCATCCAGGGGGTTAGTCCATGAATGTTGTATGTTGGTCTAACCTTCACGTTGGTTGCTTGCTGTTGTTGGTTTTGGTCGCTCTTATGATCCCCCCCAGCCTAGATATTTCACACATTATGTCCACTTCCTATGGCAGTGCATGTGGTAGAACCCTCCAGTCTCAGACTGTAGGTTACAGGTTCGAGTCTGGTTCCGGACTTTGCGGGGGTCCTGTCCAGATAGGCCTGTCTCTACCACATATTACATACAAACACATTAGAGACACTACCTGAGATACTGACTACAGGTACAACCACGATAGGCACATCGGAGGGACAAAGATTGGGGGCTAGTGGAAGAACGGATGATGGCCCACCACCTACTGAGTCTGTAGTCTGTCCCTTCTGATCCCTATAGGAAGAACCTAGCCGATTACCGAAATCTGCTATTAGGTGGGAGGCAGTCTTTACCGAGGATAGACAAAGTGAGGCATGGGTCCTTTGGGGGGGGAGGAACCCTAGCTGATTACCGGATTCTAAAGGAGGGTTGTCTATTCGTTGGCAACAGATTAAGGGCGCATAGGGTTGCCCCTCCGCAACGTCGAGGCAAGGAGCTTCTAGGGGCCTATACATACTACCTACACATAGCTCACAGAGGCATTGGTAGAGGTGGTAGGAGCACCTCCCACTAGTATTCACTTCGCAGATGCTCCATGGTGGGGAGCAGCGTCTGCTACGGCTCCACGCACAGGGGGGCTATGCATACTATCAACATATAGCTCACACAGACATTGATAGAGGTGGTAGGAGCACCTCCCATACACATAGCCTACAGGCACATACCTACAATACCGAACAACACATATATATACATAACCATAGGGCTGGGAGGAGGTCATGACTAACTAATAATAGGCATATCGATGATAAGAGAGGGCGTGAGTTACTAGTCGGTAGGTAATTGCTTGAGCCTGACGTCCAAAGTTCCCATACGACGAGCCCTGGTGCCTGTCACTACTGCTCGGTCCAAGTTTCCCTCGATGGTAGGACAATGGTCCTGAGTGTTGGTTACACTGAGGTATGATAGTAGGAATATGGGGTGCGCTAGGAGTATTGACGCGAGGATGGGATGGGAGTAGCCTCGTCTCTTCAGACCAACCATGACTGATAGCTTTCGGCGATCAATGTGAGTCTAGTAACTGACCTCTACAACACCCTGGACTTTTCTTAAAAAAAAAAAAAAAAAGAAGGAAAAAAAAAATAACGACACATAGGCCCTTAGGGCTGGGTTTCCCACGCCCCCGCGGATAGACAATTAGGGTTGCGTTCCCTGCACCCCTGTGGTTAGTCAACTTTGTGGGATGCAAGGCATGGGACATTTCCTGAACCGCATCGGGTGTGACGGGTTCCCAAGGCCCCGCATCGGATGTGACGGGTTCCCAAGGCCCCGCATCGGATGTGACGGGTTCCCAAGGCCCCGCATTGGGCCTGATTGGTCGTTGTGGGCCGGTCAGTTTTGGCTGGATTTTGTCATCAAGCGACCCCCATTAACTTACCGTGAGGGCACGGGTGCGCAACCCGAAGTTTGTATATGCTTGATTGATAAACACACACACACACACACACACACACACACACACACACACACATACACACACACACACACACA